GCAGCAGGAAACACAACAGTCCTGCTGAGAACTTGTGTTAGAGGAGTTTTCATCTCAAGTGAGATCAACAAACTGCTGCACAGTGAAAAAGCTGCTGAAACATAACAGTCGCTTTTATCTAAGGAGGATTTTCCCTCTCACCAACCAACAAATGCTGGATTTAAAATGCACTGTCTGAAAAGAATCAAATCCTTTTTTGCTCATTAATACTGGAGGTTCAAACACATTTAAAGCTCAAGCTGTCAACTGCACAACCCACCGAGCTGCTGTGATGAAAGGCAGGAGAATCAGTACTCACTGGACCAATCAGCCGCGTGACTCTCAGCGTGCACAAAGACTTACAGACACAACCTGAACCGACTGAGTGCAAGAAGTGCTGACAACGAACAAACTGTCACCCAACGCCAAGCATGAGACAAAACGTCTGCTGAGGTTCTGCACATTACAGATCAGGTGCAACACGTCTGTGGGAACGTCTGAAACCGTGCCTTCTACGCTATCTGAACGGTATCTGATTTCAGCTGAGAGAACAAATTACAGTGATGACAAGTGAAAATGTGCACAGCAGCTACATTTACTGCAGGCTAAAGATTACTACTGTACAAATGGACTGGTAAATGGACTGTATTTTATATAGCGCTTTCTCACAGTGTGTTACACTGGCCAAAGTGCTTTACAGGAGATTATACACCATTCACCCATTCACACACACATTCACACACCGATGACGAGAGGCTGCCGCACACTGGCGCCAGTCGAACCACCGGGAGCAATTTGGGGTTCAGTGTCTTGCTCAGGGACACTTAGGCATGCGGGGAGACCGGGAGTCGAACCACCAACTTGCTGGTTAGAAGACGACTGCCCTACCTCGCAAGCCACAGCCACCAGCTACAATGAGCTGAAATGGGACACCAGGATTAAACAGTGAGGCCTAAAGATTACTACTGTACAAATGGACTGGTAAATGGACTGTATTTTATATAGCGCTTTCTCACAGTGTGTTACACTGGCCAAAGTGCTTTACAGGAGATTATACACCATTCACCCATTCACACACACATTCACACACCGATGACGAGAGGCTGCCGCACACTGGCGCCAGTCGAACCACTAAACCTTTTTATATTGTATTGGTAAATGGACTGTATTTTATACAGCGCTTTCTCACAGTGTGTTACACTGGCCAAAGCGCTTTACAGAAGATCATACACCATTCACCCATTCACACACAACAATGACGACAGGCTGCCATGCACCGGCGCTAGTCAAGCCACCGGGAGCAATTCGGGGTTCAGTGTCTTGCTCAGGGACACTTAGGCATGCAGGGAGACCGGGAGTCGAGCCACCAACTTGCTGGTCAGGAGACGACTGCCCTACCTCATGAGCCACAGCCACCCCATCCTTACACCGTTGCACACTGTTTCAGTAACAACTAAATTTGTAAGGCTGCCTGGCTTTTGTAAACAGCATCAGTGTGCATCACATGTCGACACATTGTGGTCACTAGGAAGTATTTGTGTTTTTCTGACCACCCAGACCTGTGTATCAAAGAATTTTTTGCAGGTTTCCTCATGTTTTGAAGTGAACAAACTTCCATTTATGGGCACAGGATGTGAAGAAAGCAGCGACCTGTTGAGCCTCATGTGAGAGCGCAGCTGTTCCCCGACTGTGTGGGAGTGACCGCACAACTAAACCGCTCAGAATAAAACCCTCTGATTGCAGCTCTGAGAAGCAGTCGAGTCACATGCTTGATAACAACCGTAAAACCCACCTCAAAAATAAGAGTGGATCAAAAAAGGAGGCGGAATTGGGCTCTCTCTGTTTATTTGAACGGCTGACGAGGCCAAAACCTCCAAAAACAAAGTCAGGAAACAAGGACGGCAGCTTTCAGAGCAGTGTGAAAGAGTGCTGACTCTCTCTGCATAGTGAAATTAGATATTTGTTCACGTTTCCCTCAGAGATCAGGTGGGGCTGCTGCTTGAGCTCTACATCACAGCAGACTCCAGGTCTGTCTGGCTTACACGTTGTCTTTTGTTTATTGAACAGCAGAATCAGAGCAGCGAGTGTGGTTTGAGCAGCAGCAGCAGCTAGCGTTGGAGAAATCAGCGTTTCCACTCCTGAACCCAGACTGAGGTGCCAGCCTCGTCCTCTCTACTGTCAACTAGGGACACAATGAACGATTACTTTCACTTCAGATGTCTTATTTGTGCAGTGGACAGCGTGGAGCAGGGGTGTGCCTTAAGCTCAAATGTGTTGACCCCTGACCCCAGGTGTGTCGACCTTTATGGGTGCAGCCAACCACTGCTGACCACTGCCTGAATGGACAAGAAACCAGTTAGCCTACTTTCTGAATTTCCCAAAAACACAGTTTGAGGCACTGAAATGTACCTACTGCAGCTCTAGTTTGGTTATTTGATATATATGCGTGTACAACTGCCATATAAATCAAGTGATAGAATATTAATATATCACCTGGCTCTTAACTGGCACATGAAATTAAAGCTATTCACAGGTTCGTGTTAGTTCGAGACCGTTTTAACTGAAGGAGTATTTCACTAAGGCAGTTATTTAACTGAATATCTACTTTAATTTTTGTTTAAAGAGAAAAATGAGAGGTTACACAACCTTTAGTGGGGAAGCACTGACAGAAAAACACCCACTGACTAATGAAGGTAAGATAAAGCAGCGACTGTTTTAGACTATTCTCCTATATCTTAATAAAAAAGGAATGAAACGTTACTAGATCTGTAGCCACCAGACTGGCAGCAGCTAACGAATGCAGGTTATTTGTGTTTTCCAGCTGAGGACAGTGGAAGGTTTGTCCTCTCCTCGTTCCAGCTGACAGCTCGTTTAATCCGCTGATACCTGCTCATGTAGCAGCAGGAAGCTAATCAGCCCAGCTAGCTCGCTAATACGCATCCAGAGCTAACGTGGAAGCTAGCGGGCTAGCCAGGCAGGCAGTTGGAAAATTAGGTCAAAACACGAAGTTCAGGTAAAAACGAATAAGGAGCGGTTTCTGTTTGGCTCCGAGCGATTTTAAGATACGGTACCTTGTCGAAGTCAGGCGGCCGAGGAGGAGCAGCTGTTTGAGGAGCTGGTGGAGGTAGCCGAGCTGCTAGCTGAACCCCTGGATCCAGCTGTTTTTTTCCTTCTGTCGCCTCGGTGTCTTGAAAAGCACAAAGGCTTTGACATATGGGCTGCACAGAGGAGACGAGCCGACAGGAGGACTCACTCCAGACACAGCTCTGTGAACCACTTTCATTAGCGAAAACTACACTTTTTACTTTCAATGCACATAAGCTTCATTTATGTGTCTGTGTTGCCAAAATGGTATCGCGTCTTTATTCTTAAGCGTATGTGCAACAGGAAAGCAAGGAGACTAAATGAGACGGTGTTTAAATATAAACATTGGTAGAAGAAGAAGAAATGGGCATAAAACTGTGTAAAAATACTCCAAGTAAAAGTACTTCTGCATTCAAAATGTTGCTCAAGTAAAAGTAGGCTACACAAGTATTAGCATCAAAATATATTTAAAGTAGCAAAACTAAAAATAGTCATTCTGCAGAATGGCACATTTCAAAGTAATGTATATGATATTACTGGATTATAATGATTGATACATTATTGTGTTCATCACTTTGATGTTGCAGCTGGTGGAGGTGGAGCTAATGTTTACTACTATATAGGTAAAATTTGAAGTACCTTTCATACTGCTGGGTTCTGTGGAAACCAAAGCTGCAGCAGTGTCTGAATCAGACTGCTGTTTTTCTACCTGGAGAGGCATCTTGTCAATAGAGGATCTTTGAACAGGCAGTGGCGCCGTTATCCTTAGAATAAACCCTACAATAAAACTGCGTCGGGGAAGAGAGTTTTTATAACGCGTGCACTGTGAAATGAAAGCAAGGATAGAATTCTGATCATAGCGTTTTATTTTATTTACACTGTTTTAAGCTCAGAGTGTTATCACCACAATGAAAATGATAGAAAAATCAACCACCACTCTTACATCTCTTAATGGAACTGAGTACATCCACTTGAGGCTATGTAACTTAAGGTAGTGCTAGCATGAAACCTCAGATCAACCCACTCTGCTCCACCCAACACTCCCTCTTCCTGCTCCACCACGCTCTGCCCAGCTTGCCACATATTTGTTGTTATGAAATTACAATAAATGGGAAGGCAACAAAACGAATTAATCACACAGAAATAAGTGAAAACCTTTGATTTATTAGGGAGGTCAACACCTTTTAAAAGCTAATATCTCTGCAGTGCTGCCAGTTCAGTGAGTCTGGGTCACAGGAGGCATCCGCAGCTTCTCTCCACATTAGGACAAGTGTTGGAGCAGATTTCTACAACAAAAATGTTTGAAAAAAAGTTACATACAGTAGCTCTAAGTGATGTACTTAAGTGCAATTTTACTTTAATATTTCTATTTTCTGCAACTTCATAGGCTACTTCTCCTCAGCTGCATTTACCTGATATGTAGATTGATTGATCAGATTAATACACAGGAAAACAACAAAAGTGAGTGAAAAGTTGGGAATGAAAAAATAAATACCCACGATGAGTGATGAGACAAAATCAACAAAATGAATTAGCTAGTTGGTTGTAATAACATCTAAAATCTTTCGCAATGTGCACAGTCAATGTCAGGATCCATCCTCCAGGATCAAACAACCTCTCACATAGTTACATAACTTGTGTCCAGTCACGGAGAAAAACACACTAGTTACAGTCTATAAATGTACTCTGTGTTTTCATAATAATAGCCTGTGTCTCTGCTCCAGTACAGTGTGGTTTAATGTCCACCGGCTCTTCTAAACCCCACTGCCATCTGGTGGCACCACCAGGCACTGACGCTGTTTCAACAGGCTCAGACGGTGAAATGTGACAAACATTTTTTAATAATAAAGAACTGTATTTAATAACTTAGCTCACAGAGAATGACTTGAGGAGTATTTTAACATCAGCAGTGCTGTCGACTGGTCGGGGGTGTGCTCTGTTGCACCTGTAAACACACCTACACTGATGTCACACTGTAGAGTGTACGTCTACACCACCGCAGATATGAAATGACACCACAGGGGATTTTCAGGAAGCGTTAAGTTCCTCATTCGACTCTGAAATGATGATAAATCAAAAAGCTGCCACACAGACCAACAGAGAAACACCTGGAGCTCCAGGTACTGCCACAGCAATTTGAACTCAGATGTCATAACAAGGCGGATCACAGACACAGAAACCAGCTGCCTGTCAGCCCAGGGAGCTGTGACTGATCACCACAGTAACTTAGGCAACACGGCTAACCTGCCACGAAGCAGGTTAACGTCAGAGGATCAGAGCTAGACCCGTCGACAGCCTGATCACCGACCAATAAGATCAGCGGAAACACTGAGGGATCCTATGGAATCCTGACAGGGACAAAAGAGTGTGATAAACAATAAAAAGGGATAGATATTTTTACAGAGCAGTCAAACAGTTTTGCTGTTTCAGGCTCTCCATGTGTACCTCTGGGTTAAAGCTGAGGACCACACCAGGTTACCTGGTTAGTCCTGGCTGCCTGGAGCGGCCTCCTGCACACAGGACACGTTCAGAGCCATGGAAGCACCTGGCACAGTAGCACTATCTTCATCACCATCAACATCATCGTTGCTCTCAGTGGGTCAGCAGATAAAAGACACCAGGTCTTCAACGCCTGTAAAAAGGCATTCATGAATGTCTTTATCCAGCAAGTTAAACACGTGACTGAATCTGAATCCAGCCACGTGTAAATGCAAACAGTTGGCCTGAAGCTGGATTTGCAGTTTCCCCATAATAAGTAACATTAAACTTTCTAACACTGTTTGACACATCAAAGCTTCTGTAAGTCCTAAAATCCGATTAACGATTCACTGGTAACTTGTGCAGTTACACAGTCTCTCAGAGGCTGAGGCCATAATGTCTCCTGGGAAAAACATCTAGGTCACTGGCTTCAGATGTTGTTTTGCTGCCTGGTAGAAGAGTGTGGGTTCTGTTACCATGACACCCCTATTCAGCACCACTCATTTGCTTCTGCAACATTGAATAGGAACACAACCAGCCAGCCCATCCATCCACCCACCCAGTCAGAAGGACATAGTTCCTTGTTTCTGCTGGCGTCCCTGCAGCTACTGTAGGAGAAGTGGAGAAGCCAGTCTCAGTAGAAACAGTAGGGTTGTATAAAAGCAACAAAACTTAAAAGCATACACATTCCACATAACTAAATGAAAATGGAGTCATCCCAGGACACAGTTTGCAGACAAGCAGCACACTGGAAGGAGAAAACATTTGATTAAACATAAACATCTAGTACTAATAACTATTAAATTGGCTGGTGGTTAGCGCTGTCATCTCACAGCAAGAAGGTTCCGGGTTTGAGCCCCACCTGACCCGGGGCCTTTCTGTGTGGAGTCGGCATGTTCTCCCTGTGCCTGTGTGGGTTCTCTCCGGTTTCCTCCCACAGTCCAAAGACATGCAGCTAGGATGATGACTCTAAACTGCCTGTGGGAGTGAGTGTGAGTGTGTGTGGTTGTTTGTCTACATGTCAGCCCTGTGACAGACTGGCGACCTGTCCAGGGTGGACTCTGCCTCTCGCCCAGTGTCAGCTGGGATTGGCTGCAGCCCCCTGTGACCCTATTCAATAAGAAGTGGTATAGATATTGGTTGAATGGATGGAAATACTCACTAAGTCTATTTCTAACAAATGACCAGAGGAAGAAGTGACACTTTTAACTGTCATGACATTTTTAAACAAATGTGCATTTTTCAGTCTTAAATTATCAATTCATTTTGTCAAAATAAGAATAAAAAATGACTCACAAACTGCAGCATCTGGGGCAGCTGTGGCTCGGAGATTGTCCCCCAACCTCAAAATCAGCAGCTCGATTCCCGTTCTCCCCAGCCAACATGTTGGAATGTCCTTGGGCAACACACTGAGCCCCAAGTTGCTACCGATGGGCAGGACAGTGCTCTGCAGGGATGGCCTGCTTTTGGTTTCTGTGCCAGTCAAGTTTAGCTTTGCTTCCACCAAGGACAATAATGGCAACTGTGGTTCTGATGATGGTGAAGAGCAGCTCTGTCCTGCAGCACTTTAATAATCTCTTATCATTAATATCAATTGCCAACTGAGAGCTTATTTTTAAAGAACCACTATGATCCAGAGACAAAACATCTGTGTTCCTGATCTTTTCACAACATAAATGTCTTTTTAGGGCAATCTGTTCAAATGCGCAAACATCAGTTGGCTCCAGTTGAGGGTTACTGTGTTACTCTGGGGAAGACACAGTGTTGTCCAAGTATACTGCTACTTTAATGCTAAGCTCATGTCCAAGGGTCATGAACTGCTGCAGAACTGAAGCGGAAGTCAGCGTTTAGTTTGTGATGGGGTTTCTGTGTCTCTGCTGCCCCCTGCTGGTGTCCACCACAAGGACACTTGGCACAGGTGGTGTGCAGTCTGTCGCATTTTGATCACACTGCAGTGAGTTTCCACAGTTAAAACCACTGGAACAGAAAGATGGACCATCACAACAGAGAAAACAATGAAAAAAAGACCCTCCCACAAATTTTGTTGGAGTTCATATTGCAACAGTTCTCATTAAGGAACATTTTCCTCCAGAGGTTTAATGATTTACAATCTCTGACAACAAACCAACAAGTTCATAATGTCTCAGTCATCTGCTCGTAACTTTGTCTCAACAGATCCAAGAAATTCAAGATGTTTTGAGGCCACATCATTTCATCAAATAGAAAAATAAGACACCAAGTCGAATCTTTTGTTTGGCAAATTTGGTCGTTTATTATAAGAGAACAGAGACATGACAGAGTACAAAGAGAAAATGACTTGGGATGACAGAACACAAAGTTCCCAACTCCCAATATATTAATATACACAACTACTAGCCTATATACAATGAACAGGTGTGAAGAAGAGACTGGAGATCAAACACACGTCTCTGTGTGACATGTTCACATCCGATGAACACAACCCAGAAGTAAAGAGAGAAATAATTAATAGATTCTGATAGCTAATTAATTATCAATAACAATTATCACACCTAATCTGCATTCACACACTGAGATATTATAGATCACTTATACTGTACACTATCAAACTACAAGACTCGCCAACCTCTCTAATAGAACCCACAACAAAATACACAGGCTCACTGTAGCAAAGGACTCTGGGAGATTGAGTTTAGTGCTTTCCTGACTTCCTACCTTTTCCCTCTCGTTTAAAAAAAATCTTCTAATTTAAAGCACAACATCTGTCACAACAAAGAAACTCTGGTTAAAACCACTTAAAGCCCAAAGCTCCCAGTGCTCAAAGGAATGTTGGAAACATTTGCACACCTCATTTTCTCTAGATCTCACACACACACACACACACACACACACACACTCAGACATGTACAGTACAGATAACAAAACATTACTGTAACAACAACACTCAAAAACATGCTCTCAAACCTGTTTGGTCTTTCCTCATGTCTGTGAAGGTGATGCTGATTTGTTTTGTCCCCTTTAACCTTTTAACTATTTATTTAAACTACACACCTGTTTGCACACTGGCCTCAGCTGAGCAGCTTAAAATTGTGAAATGTCAGAAATGGAAATGTCCTGCGCCACTGCAAACATTAAGTGTTTGGTGAAATAGTGTAGGTGGTGAGCCAACAGCTAATAGGCTAGACTTTTTCATTTTCTTAGTTTTGGTTGGTTTACTTTAGTTTTCCCTTCTTTTAGTTTGCATTTTAAATGCTTTCAGGTCACGAGGTAAAGCATGAAATATAACAAATAAACTTGCCTTGACTCCCCAAGCTGAAGCTGTCTGGCTAACACTAGCTTGGCCACTAACAGGTTAACAATTAGTTCAAATGTTTAGGACAAAAGATGAGCACTTCTTACTCCAGAGGTTGATTTGTATCGTCCCCTCCTGTCTCCTAACTGTCTCTTTGTGGAGGAGTTCAGCTTTACTGAAACTGTTCCCGTCCTTCTGACACTTGCTATGCTGGAGTACATGTATGAAGAAATAATCATCATCATCACTTATTTTTCCACATTTTCTGACGTTTGCCAGAAGTAGCCTTGTACATGTGTAATGACAATAAAGTTGAGTCTAATCTAATCAGTGAAGTCCACAGCTCGGTATTCATTTTGTTCTCTGCTGCATTAGTTCTGTAAACTAGACTCTTCTGAATGCTATGCAATGCCAAACCAGTATGGACTTCAAGGAGCACTCGACCGGCCACACCGCCCCCTCTGATGGCAGAAAAAGGAATATTTATAAAAAGGATATTTTCTTACATGTATCTTCTTGGGGGCATTAGGGATGGTGCAGCTGTGACTGGCTGGTTAACGCAGTGAGAGGTGATGGCTCCATCTGTCCCAGGGGGTCAGACAAAGGGTACATCACATCTCCCTTAACTGATCAGTCCTCGCTCCTCGAAGTGAGTAATTACATGTAATCATGATATTGTTTCATCACTAACAAAAAGGCACAACTCAGTTTTTATCTGTTAGTTTCAGTGTGCCTCCGATCCTGGTCCTTACCCAGTCCCCCACAGGTACCCGCCGACTGACCTTCAGCCTGTGAACCACAGACAGCGCGGCCTCGTGGCACGGTGACCTTCAGCTGAACAACATTCATGTTCACAACAAAACAAGGCAAATACGGTAAAACTAGTAAAATAAAATAGAATAAAAATCTAGAAATAAAATCCTACACTACAGTTTAACCCTAACCCTAGCTCCAGTGTGGGTTAATATAAGAACATGAATAACTGAGAGAGACAGGCACAGTGCTTTCCAATAATAATAATAAAAACCACAGAGACAGGAGAAACTACCAGGGCTGATGCACCTGTCCAGGTCCTGGTACCCTTAAAAGTCAAGTAGAGGAAAGTTTACGGCACCACTGTAACACAAAAAGAGGTGGATGAAGCTGTGAAAGTGAACAGAAATGGTTTTAGAAGATTAGAAATCTTTGCTTGCTACGGACTGAAAGGGTTGGATCTGTCCTCTGCGTTGACCAGCCTTTGGTCTTGCCACCTCCATCCCGTCTCTCAGAACAGCATGCTGCTCTTACCAACCTGTGACCAAAGCAGTTTCCCTTACCCCTGACAGTAACTCTCTCTTGTAATGCAGTTCCAGTCCTCAGTCTTCTTGTGTCAGCGTCGTCCTAAAGGAGTCCAGAGATGGACAAACCTTCCTCTGAGGAAAGCCCGAGTGGTTCGTCCCAGCAGCCTCGGCTCACTGGTTGACATGGGGCCTCAGGGCTTGGTAAAGTCCCTCGAAGGTGGGTCGATCGGGGATGTCGCGACTCCAGCAACGCATCATCAGCTCAAAGAGAGAGGGGGGGCATAGCGGAGGGGCGTAGAGGAAGATCTGGAGAGGAGATACGGCAGAGTTAGGAGGTCACATGCTAAAACACGTCTACACAAAACCAAGATGGACAAGGACTGAATTCTCATCAAGGCCTTACAGTCGGTAAAAGAGCAAACAGCATTGTCAGACTCATGATGAACAGTTGAACACAAGATGACTACACTTGGTGCAGGAGAACCAGATGAGCTTCCTTCTTCCTTGTCACAGCCTGCTGCCTACATTACCCACAATGCAACAAGACCACCAACAGAGATTTGGGCATGTTACGCTCAAGCAGACAGGAGGAGCAGATTACACAGGCATGGTGAACACACTTCTTCCTCAATGTGTGCACACTTTCTAACTTTTCCAACTCGCAGTCTTCAGCCCCGAGTGACCACTTGGCACTTGGAGATGGCACAGCTTCCCCTGGACAGACACGCAGCTGTACTGCCCCGACCCTCACAGCTGGAAACAGACTTGGATGTGGAAACTCAGTGCAGCTCCCCATAAGGCAAAAACCTGAAGGTCTAAACTGCTGCTACACTGTAGATGGTGCAGGCTGACATGTGCAGAGCTGTTCCTATGTGATCCAGTGATCCCTTGTGGAGGAAAAGAGAACTAAGTAGTAGACATTTGTAAAAATGTACAGGCTGAAGCTGCATTCACAGGGAGCCACCAGTGCTTCTCCCAACAGCTGCCTGATTTGGGTGGAATTGGTCACAGTCTAATGTCAGACTCCTAATGAATGGCGGTACTGCCCAGTGTGCACTGGTCGAGCTCTGACAGTTACTTGTGTCTGTCGACCTGTGTGTTGAGCTGCTGAATTCTATCGCCCTTGCAGAGATTAATAAAGTTGCACTGAACAGAAGTGAAAGGCTTCACCCGATGTGTGCGTGTTTGATTCATCTCACCTGTCTGCCCTGGTTCCTGAAGAACTCGCCAGTGTTCTCTATGACCTGTTCGTCGGACAGCAGGCTGTAGGGCTGCTCCTTACACAGCGTGAAGATCTCCCACAGGGTGACGCCAAACGCCCAGACATCACTGGCTGTGGTGAACTTACCCTGGAGGGGAGGTACGGGGAGAGTGACGTACATGTAAAAGGACAATGCAACAAAACTTTAATTCCTACATTTTCTGACAGAGTCCACAAGGTTGTGTTGTCAAATCAAATGACCCTTCACTGAAGACAAATGCTAACTGGTGTTCAGAGGGTACTACTGAGTCTATAAAGCCGCATCCATCAATAAACAAGTATTAACTGTTTTAAACCTATTCATTTTAAATAAAACCTGAAGATGAATCTGTTGAGAGCAACTGGATCAACAGTGACCCAGTAAAACTGGGACCTGATTCCTATAGACGGGCTCATTCTGGCTCTTGGTTCCTGGTGCAATCATATTTCTTTCACAGTGCAAAGCACTTTCTTCTCTCCACAGACAGTCAGATGGGTTGTGCCCCTGAAAATATCCATAATTCTTTCAGCTAATTTTACAGCTACAGAAACTCACTAAGCGATCGACTGCCACTCATAATGTTTAAGAGAAAACACTCAGGCCTACAGCAGGGTCGAGGATTCGGTTTGACCTCACAGCCATCATTAGGAGCAGTTAGAGGTGTCAGGGACACAGCTAGCAGCTGTGTCCCTGACACCTCTCCCTGGCGTGAATGACCTTCTTTTCCCTTCCTTCTTCAGTCCTATCTAACATGAACTGCGCCCCCCTCCCTCACCAGCAGGATGCTTTCCCAGGCCATCCATCGTATGGGCAGCACCGCCCGGCCCTGGATGCGGTAGTAGTCGCTGCTGTACAGGTTTCGGCTCATCCCAAAGTCGGCGATCTTGATGGTGAGGCGGCGGTCCAGCAGGCAGTTCCTGGTGGCCAGGTCACGGTGCACGAAGTTCAGAGACGCCAGATACTTCATCCCCGACGAGATCTGCACCGACATGTGGAGGAGGTCGGACAGACTGCAGGGTGGGAGGAGAAAGAGGCAGAGAACATGTTTGTGCGAGGAAGACGAGAGAGAGGAGGAGGTGAGTGTGCATCATCAGCAAAAACAGCGCGTGTGGTGCATCAACCTGACTGAAGGGATGTTGTTGGCGTGCGTCAGCGTGCTCTCGATCTCCCGCTGAGACAAGAACATGTTGAGGTCTCCGTTCTCCATGTACTCGGTCACCATGCACAGTGGGTCGGACGACACGCACACACACAGCAGCCGGATGATGTTAGGGTCGTTCAGACGAGACATGATCTTTATTTCCTTCAGGAAGTCGTTCCTGACGGATGCAGACAGAAGGAGATGACATTTTCTTTTGTGTCCTGAATTCAGGCTTAAAATATTTCAGCTTCACACTTTAAACCAGTGTCGTTTAAACTCAGTGTTGTTGTGAGTAAATGCAGGAGGCCTCCGGATCCCGGGCTGGGACCCCCTGCTGTGAATGGGTGGCACGTGTGAAGCTGCTACAGCATGGAGGCCAAGCGGTCTCAGTAATGTGCAAATGTGTGTCTCATGATCTACAAATACAAAGAAAAGCTTCACTAATGTAACCGAGTCACATTTGTCTGCAGAGCTCTGAGACATTTCTTGGTCTCATTAGCATAAACACTGGGTTGTCGACTGAACGATGCATCTGTGACTGTCAGAACTACCAACAAATCACATTTGTAAACCTTGTTTTATTTGTGGATCATGTAACAGGCATGTGTCACCGTTTTATGGAGACTACAGTCTGTCCGCAGAGCAGCCGCCCTCTGTGGAGGATCTGCAGCCTGGTCTGCACATTTAGAGTTCTGAACCAGTTCTACGTGGCGCTGCATGTCTACAGAGTTTACAGCTGGGATCCAGTACCTGGCTTGACTGGTGGCATCAGCCCTCAGCTGTTTAACAGCCACCAGCACTGAGTGGCCGTCTCTTTCAGGGAGGGGTGATCCTTCCCCAAGGAATTCTGGGAGTCCCTCGGCCTCACACAGGTGGACCTGCAGGAGACAAAGCAGCACATGAGAAGTCCTGAGTCACACCCGTCATTTCATGTCCTTTCGCACTTTTTCTTTCCCCAAACAGACAAACTGCCAAGCCCTTTCAAGCACACCTTCCCTGACCCCTCCCCCTCCTCACTCACCTCTCCAAACTGCCCCTCCCCCAGCTTCTCCCTGAAGATCAGCTGCTGCCGTGGGAACTCGGCGGCAGAAATGTCCTTCCTGGTGAGCGAGTCCACGGTGAGGGCAGGGACAGCATACATGTTGCTTCCGGTGACGCCCTGCAGCCGCACGATGTCCGTCTCAGCGTAGTGTGGCGCATTGCTGTGGAAACACTGGTGCGGCGTGCACTGGGTGACGTCGGGCTCGGCGTAGCCTCCTCCACACGCTGATGGAAACAGGAGAGGCGTCTGTTCAGCTGTACTTTTAGTTTTCTGGGAGTTTTTATTTCTGATTTTTCAGGCCAAGTAAAAAACAACAAACATTTTTATTTCCCTTAAATGTGGGTCTCACAGACCCGCTGTCTTAATTAATACATTTATCACAGCTGTCGAGACTGTGCAGGAGTGGACTTTATGTTTTAGATTTCTCATCAACTAATGCTGGTAAGACACACACACCACACTGCTTTGTTAACCTGAGACACAGAGCTAATTGGTTTGGGTTCTCTGGTGGATGGATGTCTGCAGATCGTACAACAGCAAATTGGTGTGTGTGTGTTTCAGAGTTTACCACCGTCATTGTTTCAACAGAGAAGAAAATTCATCCACAGCAGGAAAACATCCAGTAAATGGAAGAGAAGTCTGTTTGGAATGAAACAGTAATATAAACAGGTCCCTGTCTCTCAGTCTGTGTCTGATAGATGTTTAAACACCTTTCTGCTCTTACCACGCAGCCAGCCTGACGTAATGTGACACACAGGAAGTCAGCAGGAGAAGGTCATAGAGAGGATTACCAAGGAGAAGAGCTGGAGGGAGAGGAGCAGGAAACCGACAGAGAGAGGGCTGGAGGTAAGGGAGAGAAAAAATACAGAGGAACAAACCTGCAGATTAAGTTGACAGTCTGAGGCATCATGAAGAAAATGTGAAAAGAAGAAACACATGGATCAGTCTGTGCAGTGTGTTGGAGGATGTAAAGGAACTCAGCCACAGAGAAGCAAATTCAGAGGCAGTTAAAGAGACAGGAGAGGAGCTGATCGGCTGAGGGCTGAAGGTTGCTGCAGAGGCCAGCAGGGGGCAGACTGCAGTGGCCTGCTCTACCAGAGGCCTCTGGTTCCCTCTGACAGCTCCACAAAAACACAGTCGTGTCTAAACACGTCGATACAGATGGATCACTGTTGCAGAATAACTTCCACTTCCTCAGAGGAGACGAGTTAACCGTCACCAAACCTCCACAGATGATCCATAACTGGTCAATAGAACGTAAGTATAATGGGGCGCTTCCCAAACTGGGAACCTCTCAACTTCTGATATTTATCCTATTCTGACTGAAAACGTCCGCGGTGTGTTCACCTGAGGCCTCGGCACTCTGCGACAGCTCCGGCAGCTTGTTTCTCAGCACCGCCGGGTTCTGGTACTGCGGGTCCAACAGGAACACTCTCTCATAGTGAGGGTCAGCGTTGGCAGGGCCTGAGGAGACATAGTACATGGGTGAATCACATGAACAGGACTCAAACATTCCTGTAGGAGTCCTGGGAGAAGTCTTCTGTTACCTGATGTGGACCTGGTAAGTCCAGGCTGGTCCTGGGTCAGTCTGTGTCTATATTAGAGGCAACTGTTAATAATTACAGTAGCAGCTGGAAACCATTTGTTTAAATGGCCTGTAGCCCTGGTACAGCCTACTGGACTGCGTCTCACTGGACTGTGTCTCATAGATCAGTGACTTATAGAAACACAAGCTGTGAAAGTCCACAAGCTGTGAGAGAGCAGCGGGCAGCCACCTGTCAATCACAGCTGTCAATCAGCTGCACTTCTAATACCCTGAAGGTCTGATTAACAGAGCAGTAACCTTCAAAATCACCAGCAGGACACTTTATTAAAGACTGAGACCAGAATGTCTCCTGGGAAACAGGATGGGAGTCGACCGGAGCAGGATTTTAGTCCCATTGACCTTTAAAATACTTCTGCACCAGTTCAGCCTTCAGCCATGGTAGCTGCCACCCGAGTCAGACCCAGGTCCAGGCCCAAAGTCCTCCTAAGGTCTCAAGCCCTGAACCCTCAAAGACTTCAGTGACGCCCCCTGTAGGTGACTCAGCACCAGAGTCTGCAGGGGCCCAAAACTGTCTAAACAGGAACGGGACAGCACTTTGTAACTGAGGCTATCACATCACCATGACAACACCAAAATGACACCATGGTTCTAACTACTGTCGGTTTTCATTTTACATTCTTCACCTTCCTCACGGCCAAGACCGTGCTCTGGGCTCCTGCCTTAGAGTGCATGAGGGGCGAGTCTCAGTTACCTCATCAATTTAATATATGTTTTTATTGAAACTGCATCATTAAGGAAATCAGAAAATGAATGAAATAGGTATAATATAACTTTGTTTAAGTTGCAGTATTTAACAAATGCTTTTGTCCAAAGAGACATCCACAAACATCAGTTGACATAATAATGATTATTCTTTTATGGTTTATCTTATTTATCTTGACCATTTCATGGCGAGAGCACGCCTCAAAGTCCGTGAGTCTGTGAGTATTGCAGTCACGTGATGTACACTACCTGTAGGGGCGTGTCCGGAGCGGGGGGGCACAGGGGGGGTCTGGAGGATGATGGTGTCACTGCAGGATGACAGTCGAACTGTCACCTCCTCTTCAAGGATCCGACGAGGAGCCTGGAGGAGGAGAGGAGGAGGAACATGCATGTTCGTGACCAATTATTCGCTCTATCTGGTGTGTCAGAACTTTACTGAGCCAACATGCACTTAGCTCTAACTGCTGCGTTAGATCCATGAAGAAGTCAAGCACAGAAGGAAACCAGATGACACTCTCCTGATTTTATAGGAAAGCCCTGTCAAACTGTTCTCTTCATTTTTTATTAATCTCACAGGTTTGCAGCACCATAAAGCTGCAACTGAATTCCCTAAAAACAAAAACAGTTCTCTGTAGTTTGTGGCCTGTTCCTCAGGTCTATGACCCTTTTAGAAAATCTAAGCATTTCCAGATCAACAGGTAGCTTGAAGCTCGGTGGAGCGGTGGCAGGGACTTAGTGGGAACTCAGAAAACCAGATGTATCAGGACAGAGAGCTGCTCTTTATGGAGAACAACAGGAATGTGGGTTTATGTGATCACAGCATCTTTCAAACCATAGGGCATCCCCAGAGTGAAAGTCTGAACCCTACACAAGGCCCTGGTTCAGGCTAGTGAAGACTCATGGGGGAGGAATTGATATCATCAAAATAAAAGAACTTTGATAAACCAAAACTAAACTCAGCTCAGCCCGTCTCACTGTATCAGTCCTGTCTCTTTACTGTACCATAGAAGAGAGGCACAGCTGCACCGGCGGCTTGTCTCCTCACCTTCTCCAGCACCTTGCAGACGTACTGGCACCAGAGGATGAGGAAGATGATGATGACCAACAGGAGGATGATGGTCACCAGGCAGCCAATCAGAACGGGTGTGTTCCCGTCGTCAGGCGGATCACTGGCTGATGGACTGACTGCTGCGGAAAAGGGATGGAGGTCTGAGATGAACGCCTGAGATTCCACTATGAGAATATAAACTGAGCTGTTTCTAACCCATCGTGCCAACAAATCACTTCCCACCCCGAGCAGTTTGCTTTTGTTATGCTCACTTCTTACAATAAGGAAAAGACGTCACAGAGTTTTACCCATACGGTGAAAAGAAGGAACGGCATTGTGTGACTACAGGAAATAGAGCTGTGACCATCAAGCCGTCTCCATCTCGGACCAGTAGCACCACCCTACTCATGTTTTACCAAATTCGGACCACACTTCCCACCAGCCCTGTTGCTCCCTGTCCCTCCTCCTCCTCGCTGAAGAAGATAACTCTGTGTCACCCCCAGTCTTTCCCTCCTGACACAGCGCCCTCTAACTGTTTTGTGCTGTATGGTCATGTAGCAAACATCCAGCAGTTTATTGTAGCTGTATCGACATCTCAGTTGTAAAGTGTTCACTGTTTACTGAAATTAAAATGATGTATAGAGTAGTTTAAGAACCTAATGTCCACTTTTACTTCATGTAAAGTGAAAAGGTCAAAGGTCATACTGGTCTTTGGTGTGGCTGTGATGGTGCCCTCCTCAGGGGCTGGAGATGCAGTCACCAACAGGGGCGCCTGGGTCGGGAGTATGGTGTCCTCTGACGAGACAAATAAGATCAGTTAATTGTGTTTGCAGATTAAAAGAACTGTGTGTGAACCACGGGACGTGTCTATGTGGCTTGTTACCCGACTGAAAGGAGATCTCGCTGAACATCATCCAGACGTCGGCGAAGAAAAAGCGGCAGCGGAGGGATTTGGCAGCGCGGCAGTTCAGCGGCACAGTGACGTAACGGGCACTGGGGTTCCTGTCGTCCAACACCGTGTTGAAAGTCACGGCCTCTGGCTCCCAGCCGGCAATGAGCCGGGGCTTAAACCAGCAGGAGACGGAGGAGAAGATCTTCACACCATGGGTGAACATGTTGTTACTGTGCACCTGGACAGAGGCGCAGGAAGTGTGGATGATGTAAGACATCATGGCTTTTCAGCCGCAGTCTAAAGAAGCACTTACAAAAGTAATGGGCTTATTTCTCATTGGATAATAGTTAAAACAAAGATTCCCAAAACTGCAGATGTGCCCATTTTGTTATATTCAGTGAAGTAGCACTACGTCCTCTCTGACAACTTCCCAGAGCAGTAAATCCTTCTCCACAGTATTATAAACCACTGTGCAGTGTCTGGCATCTGACAAGCTTCAAACCCATGGATCTAGTATTTAAACTGCACTTCCTGGATCATAGATCCACCACGCAGGGCCGGAGCAACGCTACCGGAGGCCCTGACCCCGCACCTGTGAGCTGAGCTGCCTGCTGTACGAGCAGCTTTAAGGCTTTGAAAACAAAGATGATTACAAACCTTCATAGAGGTGAAGTTCCTCTGTCTGTCAAACACAAACTCCATCTCCACATATCCTTGCATTCCCAGCGACTCGTTCCTCCAGCCCAGGTAGTCATAGCCTGGCCACACGCTAAACTGGCGGGTCCGGAGGAAGTCGTCCAGGCCAATCACGCCGTCTGTCAGCTGACCCAGCCCGTCAAACAGCCTCCTGTTGGAGGAGAAGCCTGTCAGCTCCAGAGAGCAAGAACCAGGAAACAGTTTGTGTTTAGGTGTGGGTGTGTGACTTGCCTCTTCTCATGCACTCCGTCATACGTGGAGTCGTTGAGGTTGGCGAAGGGATAACCGGGCTGCATCATGAGCTGACCCTCTGGAGCGCTGTAGGAGATCAGACCCTCTGCGGGGCACAGGGGAGGACAGGTGAGTCAAAACTCAGGGGACACTGCTCACAGCCTCACACTCCACACCTGCTAAATGAAGCGTTTCCTGGAGCTTTAGGCACCAAGTTGTGTTGAGGAGACGCAGCTCTCTCTATAGTCCTGGCTACAGTCCTGAGCATTTTATACCGCCATTGAATTGTGGTGTTATCTTGTCGTGGGCCAAAGCGTCTGAGGGATGGACCAACACTGGGACCTGTCACCAGCTGGGCAGAAGGTTTTCTAAGCAGGCCTGGACTAGGATACTTTACAGTTTGTGCCAACATGGTACCTGAGCTTCAGTAGTGACCCCAGAACAACAGTCATGGAAATTCAAACAAAGCCTTTCACTAAATATTTGTCTTCACTTACTAAAACCCACCAGTGCCTCTGTGTTTATGTCGTCGCACCAAGCAGCACAAATAAAATACTGTCTGAAGTGAACAAAGCCTCCTTGTTTCTAAGGAAACTTCTGTTCATAAACAGATTATATAACGCATGACCTCTCACATTAAATACTGCTTTTGTAGATAACATACAAATAATCATTGACTTGACTGCTTTGCATTAACAGGACATGATGCCATTCAAGCACCAACATTTAATGTGGATGCAGATGATTCAGGCGCAGGACCACACCTCTAACCACGTCCTTTTCTTGTCTACCTCCTATAAATATGTCAAAACTCAGCATCAGTCCCTTTCATTTTTCATAACCCTCCCTCCCTCTCTTCTCACCTTTCTTCCTCTCCTTGTTTCTACCTCCTACTCCTTCCTCATGTCTTCACGTTTACACGTGGGGGACCTCCCAGACCCGGCTGCAGCCTCAGAGGCTTCCCCACACCACTGACCATCAGCCGAGCATCTTTACACATCGTCTTTGTCCGTTCTACAGCGCCTCACATCCCCTTTCCAATCCTGCCCTCCATCCTCATCGAGGCGTGGTCCTACCCAGTCAATCCAACTGTTGGAGCGCCACTGAAACTTAACCGACGGGAAGCAAAGTGTTTTCCCAAAGATTTCATAATTTTAGGTTTTAAGGCACTCCAAGTCACAGAAACGGTGTATAGCCAAATTTTCTGTTAATGACTGTTGGAGCGCCACTGAAACTTAACCAACGGGAAGCAAAGTGTTTCCCCAAAGATTTCATAATTTTAGGATTTAAGGCACTCCAAGTCACAGAAATTGTGTATAGCCAAATTTTCTGTTAATACATTATTATTTTATTATTTATTCAGTGCGATAAGTCCCATTTTCTTTGTGCGTTGCAATGTGAGCTCACAGTGTACCGCACAATGAAAATCCTGCTTTTCCACGTCTGCACACGGACTCAGCACATTTCAGTTTGGCATCCAGGATCAGATTGGAGTGGCCCTGTACGTACTCCACAGTCTGGGATTTGTCACTGCGGCCCGATGACAGCCACAGTAACAGAGATGGAGCGCTGCCGCCTCATCCTCTCTCATCTTTAACCTCGTGGTTTTTCCTCTGTGCACCTGCTGTTTGAGAAAATCCTGAATCCATTTTGTTTACCATCTTGGATCAAGTTTCCGTTGCACTAGCTAGTGATACATTTTGTAGTGATAAACAATAAGTACAACAAGGTTTGGCCTAAAATCTGTTGCTCAGATTTAGTTTAGTTGTACAACAGATGAAATGTTTGCACCATCAGGATGAGATTTGTGAGGGGTTTACTCGAGTCCGAGGAGAAGTAAACATTCCTGAGAAGTCCAGAGCGACTGAATCAACAACCTCTAATGTCAGACTGTGCATTTGTGTGTCCTACCATCCCAGGAACAGCCGTACAGCTCCACCCTCATGCAAACGGTGGTGGACAGCTTGGTGACTGGGATCACACGGATGTAGCGGGTGATGATCGGAGGGTGGATGTCGTTGATGACAGAGGCGTATGTGTTCTTGTTGCCCTCCATCACCTGGTAACAAACACAAGGGAGATGTACAGTGTGAGGAACAGATAAGAGCATCACCGCAGCGCCTGGATGAGACAGACTTCACTGTCCCGAGGGGTGACACATCATCATCATCATCATCATCGTCCACACTGTGTTTCATCATCATCATCATCATCATCGTCAACACTGTGTCCACCAGCCTGCTGACAGTCGTGGATGTTTCCTAAATTCATCTCCAGGTAAAAGACAATGTTTTCCTGTGCCCAACGCCCCCGATCCAGGCTGCCCTGTGTAACCTCTGCAGTGAAACATCTGGCTCACTCACCATGATCCCCAGCCGGTTCCTCCAGGACTTCCACAGCAGGCCGTCCCTGCTGTAGTTGAGCCGGTAATATCGAGCAAATTCATTTCCGGAGTTTCTGGCGTATCGTCCCTGAGTCCCGACCACTGTCAGGAAGGTCAGCCGGCCCAGGTCCACCTGAGGAGTCCACCAGAAGGTCTCTGTCACATCATGCCACACACCAGGAACCAGCCAGAGCTGGGTTCACCTGAAGATACTGACGTCACTAGTTACTCAGTTTACTCTGTTTATGCACGATGTGCCAACCTCGACCTCAGCAGGTCCACTCTGAGAAAACACAGTAGTTTATGCTTGTATCTCTGTTCATTAATGTCCCAGTAATAAATTCACCTCCTTAGATAACAATCACCCTTGGGGATGATTTTATAACTGAGTGCTAAACGTCTGCAGCACCTGTACCACATTTCCTCCACCACTAGAATGCCAAAAATTGAACTAAAAGCAGGAGAGATGCTTCATTATTTAGGTCAAGTTTTATAGGGCTTTACATTTGAGTTGCTGGCTGCTTCTGAAGCAGCTTTTTTGCAAGATTCTTGATATATGTCACTGAACAGACCCTCTTCTCTCTTCAAACAGACTGACCCACATCTACTCTGAGAGATGCAGCTTAGTGAAACTTGTACTGGCATTTGCTGACAATCACTAGAGAAATTCAAACACTGTTTAAGTCCTGTGGAGGTGATTTAAACACGTCTGTCTGCATTACGCCCAGAAACTGCAGCCTCTGATCTTCCTACAGTCGACTGTGAACTGTGAATATTTTCTCCTGTTACACTGATTGTGCAGCATCACTTCCTCCTCATTGATCCTAAACTCCAGGAGGTCCTGATTTACAAAGCCCTGATTCAAATACTAGGTCAAAGGTGACTGGATGTGTTGCCTTTCAGCAGCCTTTGACGTTGCAGTTGTAGGAGACTATATAGAGTCTAACTGTCAACTCCACAGGGGCACCTGGTCGTGTCTGAGCACGTTTGAGATGGTGTGTTGGAACAGACCTGCAGGTACTGGGTGTCTGAAGGCTCCAGTCCTTCAGGACACCAGGCGCCGTCTCCCTCCTCACGATTCAACCTGCAAACATACACACAGTTACAGCTGTCAAACACTGGGGCAGCTACTAAAATCCTTTCTCAACATCCGATTAAATCTGTGAACCCAGATGAAATTTGGGTGGAAACTGCTTTTTAAAGAATGTCAAGTCCTGGACTGGACTGAAGTTCAGGATCAGACTAAGAACACGACAAGGACAGAAAACAGCAGAATAAGAAAAAGCTGAAAACAAAAGGACGATGAAGAAGCGAATCGGTCTACTAACCACTCATGTCCCACTTTAAGTCGCACTGACCTGGCATACTGTGGCCCCGTGGTCTCGTACCACTGACTGGACGCTGTGATGTCTTCGTCTTTAATCCGTTTATCTTCCATGCCCAAGGCATAGCGACAGTGTGCTGCAAAACACACACACACAGAATATTTTGTCCATTCCTCACTTTTTCAAATGGCTGAGACTTAATTCTTTTTTGTGGGAATTAATGTTAAAAACACTAATCTTAAACCCAATCCAGCAGTGCTGCAGTAAATCCTCCGCCATGGAGGTAATGCTGTTCAGTCTGTGTCCCCGAGGCGCTGGTCTACCTGTGCGGCCGCAGGCTGTGCTGCACAGGCGTCCCTAATAAACTGACCACTCAGTGTATACAGGATGTTTGTGCAGTGTGTGTTCATATATGTGGAGTGTGTGTGTTTACCGGGGTCGATTTGCCCAGAGGCTGCTGTAGCTTGAAGGATCAGCAGCAGGAAGAGGTGCATGATGGTCCGCCGGTCACGCCAACACATACGCTACATCTCTGAGACACAAAGACAGAGAAAGGTTCAAATCTGCACGAGGAGGCTAGGAAACATTTTACTCTATAACGAATACTTTGCACTGAGCATCCTCTACTTCGCTCTGAGCAGCTGAGGCGTCTGGTAACACAACACCAGGCAGCTCTGGTTCACTTCCTGTCATTATGATCCAGAAAAGGAAAACGCTCTTGGAGGACAATGGGACGCTGCTGGCAGAGACCAGAGTTTGACTTCTTCTGGCTGAATATGAGATTGCTCTAAACCAAAGAAATAACCCCAGTGAAAACTGGGTCTCCTGTGTTGGTCCAGAGGACAGAGAGCTGCTGTTCAGCTGTTTCCATGTAACTTTTCATTCTATTCAAAACTACACAAAAACACAGAGAGATGAAAGGGACACAAATGAGTTTGACATTTGGGAGAAATGACCCTGGAATCAGACTCTGGAGCAATGGAAGGTCCAACATTCACCAGAGAAAGGAAGAGAATCATAATAATCAAATGAAAAGCACATTTCTTCATCACTTGGCTAATCGAACCAGCCGCTCAAGCAGATTCATGTATTACCCAAAATTCCAAAGTGAGGCACGTCTGAGAGCTTCATGATAGAAAGATCAGAGGGTCCCACCTGAAGAACCACCTGAAGTAAAACTTGGGTTGGTCTCGGCCGACGATAAGCCTCCGTCACTTCCCAACACCTTTCCAGTGTCGGAATGGGCAGAGTCTGTGTTGGATCAGTTTTGAAATTTACCCACATCAATGAGCCGACATTCACACCCACCCAGAGGCTCAATCCTAATTCCCTTAACTGCATCCATAATCCTTTACTTGCATCTTTTCCTTGTGTCCTAGCCCCACCCACATAAGAGGCAAGGAAAAGATGTGAGGAGAGAGGAACTAAGGATACATAATTTTTCCTTTCCTTCAGTTGTTTAAGCATCTGATCACCAACTGATTTCCAATAAAGGGGCCTCTGTCCATAACAGGCTTCTGACCACAATGCACCCCGGTATCACTGCTCCAGCAGGCGGCCTCCTGACCGTATCAGGGAACTGGGATTTACCCAGAGGTCAGAACAACTATGACCCAAACCTAATCTTTTATCAACCATGTTCACTTGCCCCAAACTGTGAGACCTTATCAGATTACAAATGTCAGTTGGCCTTTTACTCTGACCACACAGATGTGTTAAAACAACACAAGGGGCTGTGGTAGCTTCTCATGTACCAGTGAGACAATATGGTCCAGGAACATGAGCAACCCAGGAAGCAGCAGATGTGGAGGTAAACAGTAGAAACACAGAGATGCATGCTGGCCAATGCAGCACCTCATCATATGACACCTCACAGTGCTGCAGAAAAAGCTGGACCCGATCCAGCTTTCAGTTCTGACTGAGGAGCTGGTGACATGGATTCATCTGCATTACTGGCTTTACCAGGACCCTCTAGGACATGTTTAGTCTCAGTGAGGTTTCTCCTGGTAAAACTAGGGTTAAATAAATAAAAACTAAACTTCTTTTCCTGCATGACACTGTGTCATTCTGGCCGAGTCCCCGTGGTCCTGGTCCCCGCTGTGTAGCGCACTTCCCCCACTCAAATGAAAAAGAAGAGCTGAGGTTTTCTACTTCGAGGGAACATCTGTGCGAATCCAGGAATCCTGCTGCTTTGTGGCACAATTCCACTCGCAGCTAAACAGGGAAGAGCTGAGCAGGAAGGCTGGCTTCATGGACTAAAAGAGATTTAAGGGGCGTTCATGGCGGACTTTAAACAGATACACATGGATCATATATCACTACAGTCCATTCCACATAAAAGAGTCAAACTTCCAGCATGTTTCTACTTTAGGAAGTTGACTTTCTCCAGCTGTCACCGTTTTACACAGCTGCAGCAGGATGGATGAACGAGGGTTCGTCTGAGCAACTCCGAGCTTCATTAACATGCGTGCGTGTGTGTGTGTGTGTGTGTGCATGTTTCACAGCGTTACTGCTGTTGGAGCGGGGCGCTGGATAAACACTGGACACAAACAGCAGCCCACTCAGAGGTTATGCAACATGGAAACACACACTCACGTGTTGTTTTCATCCCCAGGAGGGACTTTACATGGACGTACATTCACTTCCTGGAGACTTACTCCAACCTTAAACTGGGATTCAGTGATTTACACAGTGGGAAAAGGAAGACCGAGTCCCAGACACGCACATGTGCGCACACACACAAATGTCCCTGCACTCAAAGTATTTATATCTGAAACTGTGACAAATGTTCTTCTCTTGCTCTGAGCCTCCTCTTTCTCTCTAGAGTTCATCTGCTGTCGAGTTTGTTTCAGAATGACAGAAAACAGCTGGATGGGAGAGAGAGTCATGCACAGAGAGGGAAGGAGGGAGGGAGAGAGAGTCATGCACAGAGAGAGGGAGGGAGGCTGAAGAGCAGAGAAAATGGAGCAGAAGAAAGACAAAGAGAGGAAGAAAGTGGCTGAAGGGAGGCAGAGGCTGAGAACTGATAAGAAAAATGAGAAAGAGCGGAGCGAAAACACGGAGAGGAGGAGGGGGAGGTAAAATGAGGGAGTCGAACAATGGAAGGAAGGGAGCAGCCGAGAGAGAGAGAGAGAGACAGGGCTGGGAGAGTGAAACATGAACTTTCAGGCTCTCACCAAGAAGTAAGACAACCCCCTTCCCTGACATTACTGAAACACGCCAACCTCCCCTCTCCAGGGAAGAACTAAGGGGAGTGAAAATGAGGGAGTCGAAAAATGGAAGGAAGGGAGCAGCCGAGAGAGAGAGAGAGAGAGACAGGGCTGGGAGAGTGAAACATGAACTTTCAGGCTCTCACCAAGAAGTAAGACAACCCCCTTCCCTGACATTACTGAAACACGCCAACCTCCCCTCTCCAGGGAAGAACTAAGTCGCCGCTACAACCTCAAAATAAAATCTGACACATGCATCACACGTCTTCCACACTGACATGTTATGGGATAAAACACAATGATTCTTGTGCTTCATTTTCATCCCCCGTCTGATCCTGTCATCACACAGAGACTAAGAAGTTGGATCTGGATGACACAGGGCTGCCAGTTAGTCTCTGGGGTCAGTCCCCTGCCGACAGCTCAGGGCGTGACAGCAGCCATAGTGGGAACAATCAGATCGATCAGATTGGCCTGTTCATTGCAACAGGCCGGCCTTCGCTTACACCAGATCCTGTAGTAAACCTTAGAGCTGGGAACAGACTGAAGAAAGACTGAAGAGCTCGGTCCGTCCCTGAAACAATTTTTCTAACGCAAGTGTCTGCTTTGCCTTCAGGAAGTGAGTTCATTCACTTCAGCCGAGCTGGACGAGAAGGCAACGGTTCACTTTTTATTTTTTAACAACAACTGGAAAAGTTCGAGTGAGAGAGCAACAGAGAGAGAGAGAGAGAGGGCGAGAGAGCTTTATGTAATGTGTTGGCTACAGCTGAGATTCCGGCGCTGTTGCTCATCTCTACAGCAGAATCACATGACCAGAGAGAGGGAAGAGAGACACAGTAAAAGGGGGACCAGTCCAGGAGACAGGCACATAAAGACAAAGGCAGAGTCCTTTGGTCCAGCGTGACCTTTGACCTGCTCCAGGCTGAGAACATGATCAACTCAAACTGCTTGACAAAGTCCTTCCTGCTCAAGTATTGCACAATGTTTTGACCTTGAAGAGACAAGAAAACAGTTTTCACTGTGTTAGGATGAAATTCGATTCTCACTCTAGTTGAAATTTCATTATCTATCTATCAAATACTGGATTAATCAATAAACTGACTAGTTGTCTCAGGTCTGTCCTGTGCATCGCCTTCCCAGTCTCACCCCAACAACATTGGATCATCTATGTGTGTTTGTAGTCAACAAGATGAATCACACTTTCAGTCAGACGGCCACATCGCAGCTGCTTGTCTGGGCACCACTATCACAACAGTGAGTGTTGTGTGGCTGGATTGTGCAACACTGAGATGAGTGATGCAGACAATGAAATGTGCACAGAAACCTTTAATTACAAAAGTAGCGTAGTTGCTAGGTTAGCTGCTACGTTAGCTGCTACGCTAGCTGCCTTGACTCACCACAGTCCTGCTAACTGTGATGTGAACAGCTATGCCACATCTGCTGCAGTAAAAACCTGCCGCTGCTGTTCCTGTGCTGAGTTAATGCTGCGAGCAGTGACGTTAGGCAGCCTCAGTGTGACTGGAAATAAAAACTCTGGGTTCTGGAAACATGTGCATGTGCCCTGTGAAATCAGCAGTAGTTTCAACTGATTATTACAGATTTCCTTTCCCTCCATCTTTGCTTTGTGTCCATTCTCCCCTCCTCCCTTCCTCTGTCCTTATCTCCTCCCTCTGTCCTCCTCTCTCTCCATCCCTCCTCCCCTCTCCTCAGCTCCCTCCTCCTTTCTCTCCTCCCTCCTCCGTCAGAACAAACTGGAGCCAAAGGCCTCAAAATTCCAAACATTCAACGCAACCCCGAGCTCTCTCTCTCTCTCTGTCTGTGCCTATGTGGCTCGCTCACACAAACACACAGGAATGCACATGCCTTTCTCCAAGCCTCTCTCTCTGTCTCGCTCTCTTACTGTTACACACAGGAATCTCTCTCTCCTGCTCTCCCTGGTTGAGGGGTGAATGAGACAGAGTTCACTGGGAACAAAGCAGAACAAAGAGGCTGAACACACAATAGAACCAAGCAGAAACATCACACTGTGTGATGGCTCCGTCTGGAACAAGAAAACCATCCGACCAAGCAGGATTCAAACCGCAACAGAGATGCCAAAATGTCCACATATACCAAATATGTCAAGCAGAAATGCAGCAGCATCCAACAATGGCCAGTCACCCACATGCAAGCACACGCTCCAGGTGCACTGTTCCCTACATGTCTACCTCACTGAGACGGAGAGTAAAATGATTGTTGAGTGTTTTGCTGTCTGACACATTCTCTGACTTAAGGCACCATTTATCATACAAGCAGCTTCCGAACCCTTGATCAGATCAAAAAACTA